CATCCCCATGGTCCTCCATGGGCTGCACCATGGGCTACAGGGGGATGTCAGCTCTGGTGCCTGGAGCACCTCCTCCCCCTCCTCCACTGACCTTGGTGTCTGCAGAGTTGTTTGTCTCACATATTCTCACTCTGCTCTTCTCTAGTCACAATTACATCTGCACAATAACTCTTTTTCCTTCTTAAATAAGTTATCACAGAGGCATTACCATCATTTCTAATTGTCTTGGCCTTAGCCAGCAGCATGTCTATCTTAGAGTTGTCTGGCATCAGCTCTGTCAGACAAGGAGGAAGCTTCTAGCAGCTTCTCACAGAAGCCACCCCTGTAGCCCCCCCCACCAAAACCTGACCACGCAAACCCAATACAGGAAATCACATAATACCTCAAATAACAAAAAAGGAGGAACCTGTCCACAGACAGAATCTGTTCAGCATGCCATGGGAAAATCCCTTTGGGGTCTGTCCGTTGCTGCACAAATTCAGGGTTCCCATCATCTGCAAGAACATAAGATTTACTCACTGTCTATATTTCTTTTTGTACACTATCCTATGAAAACAGCTGTTTTATTAAGCCATTTGTTTTCAGGCCTTTCTTACTGAGATCTAGAAAGAACCCTGCGCCATCTCTCCCTCTCTCAGTGTCTCATACTGCCCTCCCCCAGTGCAAAACACACCTCTCTTCCCCTCATTCTAGCATCAGCTTCCTTGTTTTTGTCACTCAGACCATCCCAATTCCCTTGGTGAGGTGATGGGGGTGCAGGAGGTTGGGATTAGTGTATAATGGTTTCTTTCTGTCACTCTCTGCTTAGTTTTTTCCTCCACTGATCCTTGCTACTTACTGCTCCTCTGTGCTAGGATATTTTCCTTCACAGGCTGCAGTCCCTTCAGTGCTGTACCTGCTCTGACATGCATCCTCCATGGGCTACATTCTCCTCAGAGTTGTGCTTTCTCTGACATTGAGTGCCTCCTTCCAAAAGTGCATCTCCATCTATGTTCCAACAATATCTTCTTCTACATGTATCCTGTGTTTCCTCCTTTGTTTTCTCCTCACATATCTCCTTTTTGTGTGTCCTCTCAAGTATCTCCTTTTGTGTGTCCTGCCCCTGGTGGCTAACTAGTCTTTTTTAAAAATGTTTGAGTGGAGTCACCATATGCTCCTCTGACTGGTTCAAGTTTTGTTTTGCAGTGGGTTGTTTCCATCAGTTTCAGAGCCATGTGGAATCAGTTGTAATTGGCACAGAGCAGTTCATAGCCTCTTCCCTCAAAGGTCACCTGTGCATCCTCCTGCTACCAAAGCCCTGCACTTAATGCCCAGTACATCTGGTAGCTTGATACAGTGGGTTCATGAGCTGACTGTACCTGGACATGTGCATTTGCCAAAATCCTGCCATTCCAAAACCTTGTATTTTCTTTATATTGGTTAGTGGTGCCACTGCCATGATCTTGTCAGTCCTGTGAGTAGAAATGTGATGGTGCCCATTTCTTATGCAGATTCCTTCACTTTATCCTTTTTGACTGTAAATCCTGCACTTAGTAAAATTCCAGTTTGCCTTGTTGTACTTGCACATTTGCAAACGATTTCTAATTTACCTTTGTTATGCACCACTTGGGTGATATTTTCCCATACTACTTTATCAATATACTGTAAGTGATCTGGGGCATTAACCTCCTCCAAAACCTTTTGTATAAGCTTGTGGCAGATGGTTCCAGGGTATTGTACTCCTCTCCAGGTAAAGGCAAACTGTGGTTTGCACTCAGATGTCAGAGGAATTGAGAAAAACTGAACTGGCTATGTCACTGGTTGCATTCTTTGCTTGAAGTTCATATTGTAGCTCTAGTCTATATGGCACTGCTGTGCTGTCTCAGTTTACCAAGACAGAAGTGTTTGCTAAGGAGGACGAGATATGAGGAAAAGCAAGCTCCTCCCTCTAAGCAATTGTAACTCCGAAATTAAGAGGCTGCAGTCAAGGAAATGTGGAGAAAGAAAAAATAGTATTTTGTTATTAAAGAATATATGTGTATAGGTAAACAACAATCCTACCCCCAAATTCCCACCAAAAACAGTTAAGTACTTTTTGCCTTTTGACACAGTTCTAACCATGACCAGCAGGGGGCGCTGTTGGATCTCTGGAGGAGTGGAGGCAGCAGTTGCTCTCCGATGGTCAGCAGGCAGTGCTGTTGACGAATCCCACATGGCAAATGGCGGATCTCAGTCATGCTGGATGGTTCAAGACCCCAAGGTGGGCCCCCACCCCTAGGCCATGAAAGTGGCAGCTAACAAGGGACAGGGATGTCAGTCCATCCAGCGAAGAGCAGGGAGACTCAGGAAAAAAAAGGGAAAAACTCACAAGATGCTGGCAGGTTCCCCCAGTCCTTGGCAACTCTGAGGGGCACCCAGGCCATAGGCAAAACAGGACACGAGGGAGACGGAGGTGAAAAACTCGCAGCTCGCTCCCACACGCTGCTCCCAAGATCCCAACAAAAAAACCAAGTCCCACCCAAAAAGCCCAACCGGACCTCTCTAACCCCACGCCACGTGCCTCCCAAAAAAACCCCCAAAAAGGCAAAACAACCCCCTGTGGAGGATGGTTGGGCTGCGGGCAGCTTTGACCTTGAGCTACAGTTGTAGCCTGACAAAAGAACAAGTAAAACATCATTAAGGAAGAAAGTGTGAGAAAAAGAAGAAAACCAGCTGCAGATAAAAAGATGTGTTTGGACGTGAGAAGAGCTGCTGACGACCTATGAAGAGGAGAGATAAGTCGCGTGCACAGAAGCAAGAAACCAATTAGAGATGAAATACAGGCACGTGGACAGGGAAAAAAGGGATAAAAAGAACGAGTTTATTTATAATAAAATCCTTGCCTGTCAACTTGCAGTCTGAGTGCATCTTTAGGTCGCCGTCACCCCCCAAAAACTCAAGCACCTCCCAGTCCCCCCCCTTCTCTCTCTCTCTGCAGCTACCACTTGGGCCAAAACCATACAGAAAAAAAAAATCTACCTTCCCCCCTTGCCTTGGGGAGAGGAAAACAAAAGAACTCTGCTTCTTGCAAAGAGGAGCCATTATCATATCAGTAGGACAGTCATTAAGGTCTAAGCCGAGCAAACACCAAAACCTGAAAAACTGACCCCCACCCCAGCCAAGCAGTTGGTGTGAAAAAATTCACCAGAAGCTAATGAAAAAGAAAAAGAAACTATAACGTGCTCAAAGATAGTGTTACCTCATTCACACCTTGATAGTTTGTGATTAATCTCCAGTCCCCATTGGGTTTTTGCACTGGCCAGATGGAGCTGTTGAAGGGTGAATGGGTTCAAGCAACCACCCCTTGACTTTCCAGCTCTTTGATACCACTGTGTATGGACCCAAGGGAATCTTTGTTGGTTCAATGGTGTCATTGGTGCGCTGTTCCAGGGGCAACTGGCACCAATTAAGTTGACATATGTAGTAGTCCTACTATGACTCTCCTTTTAAGATAGCAGGTAGCTGAGATATCAAAGGGGTGCCCTCATTCGTTCCCCCAGTCAGTGGTGATGCCAAATGTCCATTGATTTCCTTGTGGGTCTTTAAAATATTCATTCCTGCGGTAGTTTACTTTGACTGAATGCCAGGTGTCCACTGAGGCTGTGCAGATTCCCCCCCCCCCAGAAGGAAAAAGGGGAGACGAAAAAAAACTAAAAAACCCGTGATTTACCAAGAAAGGCAGTTTTATATTTACACAGAGAAAAAAGGGAAAAAAACCTAATAACACTACAAACACATAAGCAAAGGAAACTAACAGTAAAATTCTACTTCCCACAATAAGCAAAGTGCTCTTTCTCTCTCCTCCAAGGAACAGTCAAGGAAAGAGAGTAAGCTACTTCCTTCTCCCCTCTTTATATCTGAGCTGATGTAACATGGTATGGAATATCTTCCGAGTCAATATGAATCAGGTGACTCATCCTAGATTTTCTCCCAGGAAAAGGAAACAAACCCACTACAATCTCCACCCATTATTCCATACCATTTTACGTCACACTCATATCCTATATTCGCCTATATCCCACGCTTATACAGGTCTTGTCTTCTACGGTTGTCTCATTCTTGACCACCAACATCAGCTTAGTTCGGGTCTTCCTCGTCTGGTGACTCATTTCCTGCAACATACAACTCAGAATACGAATTAATTTTTCCCCAAGGTTAAACCTCCTTGAGGCACACACTGGGTGTCTCCGTCTTCTCTCATTATCCACCAAGTATATCCGGGTCCTTGAGCAAAGACAATGACATGAATGGGTTTGACTTTGCTCGAGGGAGGGTTAAACCAAACTGCTTTACCTAACATACCTCTCAAGTGAATTACTGGGACTTTGTCTCCATCTACAGTGTGAAGGGACTCTGATCGGGCAGGGCCTGCTCAATTGACAGAGCCTCTAGTGTTGACTAGCCATGTAGCCTTTGCTAGGTGCTGATGCCAATTTTTGAAAGTTCCCCCACCCAATGCCTTCAGAGTAGTTTTCAGCAATCCGTTACACGGCTCGACTTTTCCAGCAGCTGGTGTGTGATATGGGATATGATATACCCATTCAATGCCATGTTCCCTTGCCCAAGTAGTAACTAAACTGTGTAGGGGGCGTGTCCCAGGGATGCAGGGGGATGCGTTCTGGGTCTTGGAGTCCCCGCAAAGCATACTGACACACATGGGCAGTGTGTGTTCTACTGTCATTGGTCATGTGGGTCACATGCCTCCCAAAGGGTATATAAAGGGGGCATTTTCCTTTAAATAAAAGATTTGACTGCTTGTCATCTGTCCCAGGTTAAGTGGTTCTTCTTCCCCCCCGGATGGCCCTGAGTTAGAAATGGTTAGTTCCAGTTGAGATCCGGCCAGGAGGACCAATAGTAGCTGTTCTTTTTCCACTCCTGTGAAATTAGATATCACAACCGCCGGAAGTGAGTTGGCAGAGTTGGCAGTCTGTCTGTGTGTGTGAGAGTGTGGGAGAGAGAGAGACAGAGAAGCCAAGGGGTGGACCAGGCCCCCATCTGGGGGTCCCGTGCCCCCGCAGCCCTGGCCAAGCTAGGGTTGAAGGCAGCAGATAAGAATGAGTGTGTGTTGTGAGGGAAGAGACTCACAACAGCTGGAGGTAAGAGGGAGAAAGAGAGGCAAACTCCTTGTGAGGAGGCCAGGCCCTTTCCCCCCCCATCCTTTTTGAGCCAGACTGCAGAGCTCGGGACAGTTCATAACTGTACCGAACGCTTGTAGCAAAAGCTGAGCAGGGGCTTTTCCCTCTCACTGTAAGTGGGAGTGGATGTGAGGCTTAGTATTTTGAAGCTGAGCCAAAGAGGACGGGCTGATAACTAAGCAGCTCGGTGCCAGGGGAAAAAAACCCAGGCGAAATTGAAGACGGACCGAGGCAGGTTCAGAGGTGCCTACGTTGGATTTAGATGTGGCTACCGAAATGGAAAACTACAGCAGCTACGGAACACACAGAGAGAGAGAGAGTCACACAGCAGAGATTGTCACGGAACCAAGGAGCACGGACTCAAAACTATCTTCTTGGACTTCGTGAGAAAGAAAAGACTTCAGTAAAGAGCTGGGGGTTGGTGGAGGGGTGGATCAGAGGAAACCCTTTTCCCTGAACACTCCAATGAGAGAAAGACTGTTTACCTATCAACCTAAAGGCTTCTCCTGGACTAAATTGTGGGAGGGGCTCAGAAGGGTGATAGAAGTATGTTAATATTGTATATATATAGTTGGTTTTAGTTTGTACAGTATTTATTTGTATAGAATAAATGTATATATTTTCCCCTCCCCCCTACAGAGGTGTGCCTGCCTGAAAGTTTCTCTTCAGTGTTGAGGTAAATTCTGGGGAGGTGAGGGGAAGTTTGGAAATTGGATTTTTGTGGGGGTCAAACCACCACACCATCTGAGCTGCTGGGTCGTGTCTTATATTATATTAATAAGCCACAGATGGCGTCCAACGTGGAGCAGATCCCTATATTAGGGAACAATCTTAAATGCCTTGTAGCAAGGTAAAATCGGTAGTGTTCAGATGGGTTTGTTTTAACACCTGGAACACTTTTACCGAAAAAAACTAGATGTCTAAAAAGCATCAGATTTCAGTGCAGATCGCAGCTGAAAGACGCAGGATTAAACTGAGCTCGAAAAAGATAGGAAGTGCACGTGCCAGGAGAAGAAAAAAACAAAGAAAACAGCGGCAAACGCAAACCGAAAGTGAAGCCGCCACCACCACCGCTGCCGCCGCTGGAGCCACTGTCTGCTGAAGCAGCAAAAAGCTGCCACCACAGCGAAAAGCGAAAAGCCGCCGCCATGGCAAGATGAAACCGAAAGCAAAACTTCACGAGCCACGAACAAAGCCAGCAGTGAGAGAAATGTACGTGGGATCCAAAAGCGGCAGGATAAGGTAAAAACAACTGTGGGAAACATGCTCTCTACAGAGATAGAGAAAGACACAGAAGCTCTATGCCTCTTGTTAAGACCATATTCAGTACAGACCACGCACGCAGAATTAACAGACTGTGGTGGTTTGAAACTCCCAAGAATCCAATTTCTAAATTCAAGCCCCCCTCCCACAATTTGCCCCTGTGAGAGAGTTTAGTGATGGTATGGACTTGATATCTTTTTCACCTCATGTGGAGAGTTTTCAGACAAAACACAACCATTCGTTATTGGGGGAAGGGGAAAATATTTACAAAGGTTTATTTATACACACATATATATATATTTACATTGCATTAAATTCCTCTTTTCCTTCAATAAAAGTCCAAGAAGAAAAAGAGAGAAGTCCTTCTGTCACTCCTCAGGTCACACAGTTCCCTCATTTCAGTTTCCTGTGGCACTGGTTAGTGTCCTTCATTTTCTTAAGGCAGCAGATTTAAGTATGGCAGTCAGGATTTTGGTTCTTACTTTGTGGAAATTCCAACCCCGAGCCCGAGCCTTCAGGGGATTTCCTTGTAGATCTTCACTCCTCTTGGGTTAGAACATTGAAGGCAGCTTTCAGTTCAGTCTTACCAAAGCTCTTTTGCTCTGTCTCAACTCGCCAGCATGATAGAAGCAGCAGCAGCAGCAGCAGAGGGCACGGCCACCTCCTCCACATTCCGTCCTGGTTCAGCTCTCAGGACGACTCCAGGTTTTTCAGCTCCTTTCTCTCTCTCTCTAGCTGCTGCTGCATTTTGGGACTCCCTAAAGGTTTGGAAGTCCACCCCTCCTCTCTTCAGGAGGTCTCTGGGTTTTGGGAAAGTGATGCAGTCTTACCCCAAAACAGCTCTGCTGAGTTTTCTCTGTTTTGTTGCCGGTTCTCTCTCCTGCAGGAACATCTCTGCGTCTCTCAACCGGCTTCACATTATCTCATTGCTACTGGCTATCTTTTTGTCTTTTAACCATCATTGTCTCTGTTCAGGGCTGCTCCGCTGCCGATTTCAATGTCTTCTGCTGCTGCTGACAGCAAGGAAACTCTTCCAGCTCTTGATTATGGGACCTGGTCCAGTTTTGACAGTATACCGGGTCTCCTGTAACCTCAGCTGGGGGCTGGGGGCCCTTGGCCCCCAAAGGGGCTCACTGGCCCCCTGCTTCCTCCTGGCTCAAATCATGGCTACCTACCTTCTAAACTATCTTCACCACCTTCTCTTCCGTTTCTGTGGGTATGCAATTTCCGTAGGGCACATATGAACCTTTGATTGGTCCAGTATTATCAGTAGGGCAAACCATTACTACACCAAAGAAAAGGTTTTTCAAACCACCACACAGACCTTATGCAATGGATAAAATCCATTGCATCGAGACTGCCGGTGGTTGAAGCCTTGAATTTAGACATATGGGATAAAATCGGAAAGCTCATGAGAGATAAAGCCAGAGAAGGTGACATACAAGCTAATAACTGTCTTCCTGCTTGGACCCATATTATGGACGCCTTGCACAGAGCACAGAGACAAATAGAACCCCCAAGCTATACCGACACACAACCTCCTGCACCTCCTAACCAGGCTGTTAACCGCAGCCCTTGTCCACAACACAAGGTGGGGGGGAGACACTGCACACAACCCGAGCAGATTCAAATGTGGGTGCGAACCTGTGTGGGCAGGTGGGGGGAGTTCGCGATTTAAGTATAAGTTCTGGTTTTAGTGAGCACACAGATCGCGGAGAAGGGACCAGAACCTTAGCTTGTGAATCCAGCCCACAGGAGCGAGGCTTGGGGGCCCGCTGCAGTGATGGGGGAAGGAACCCAGCAAGCTCACCCCCTCATGCTGCTGATGAACTGCGACTGCGTGCTCTGGCACAGGCACAACCATCTTGCACGCAAAACAGACCGGAACCTGACCCTTTTCCTCCGGCTGCGCAACCATCTCGTTCTGACCAGGTGGTACACAAGCAGGAATGACATGCAATCATTTAGCAGGAGAGGGGGAGTATGTCACAGCAGACTCACAAGCAGGTTATCCTCGAGAGATTTATGAAGTGATTGCAAAACTGGCTTTAAGAGCAATGAGAAAACTCCCGAGCACAGACAGAGACAGTAATCTGTTGTAGTCAGTTGTAGTTGGCTTCCTGTCAAACCTCACAGACTACAGAAGAAAAGCTCCCAGAAGAGAGAGAAGGAAAAAAAATGGAATAGCAAAAGCTATATAAAATATATATATATATTTTACATATATTACAGATATACAATTAAGGTGCTATGTACATATGAACACAGAAACCCCAAATTGCTCCCAAAAGGGAAAGAGGGGAAGGGAAAAGGGAAAAAAGGACAAAAAGGGACAAAAATGGACAAAACCAAAACAGGTATGCACAATTGAAAAACCCAATAACTGACAAAATAAAGAACTAACAGAATCTCACCACTTCCCTTGAGAAAAGCAGGACAGCCGCATGCAGCCCAGCACTCTCCCCTCACATATGGTAGTCAACAGCAGTTGCTGCAGGCCTCCGCTCTAGATAAGCAAGACAAACGCAAGGGACCTACTGTTCCCAAACCTTGCCGGAAGAGAAGAGAGCAAGGTCTCTTATCTACGCCTTATTTATACCTCAGGTTACGTAAAGGAATAGCATGGAATACTTCCTTGGTCACTTCCCTAGTTCCTCCCTGGTTACAAGCTGGTCTCCAGGAAGGCCTAGACTGAAACTATCACATCTGTCCTTTACAAAGGTCTTGCAGGGCTCTACAGAACCCTTCTCCCGGTTTCTCGACTGACTGCAGGCTGCCTTAAACAGGCAAATTGAGCACGATGAAGCTAGAGAGATGCTTTTCAGGCAACCAGCATATGAGAACTCGAATCCAGATTGTAAAAGAGCTTTGCAAACTCTCCCTAAAAGGGAAAGTTGCAGCATTGCCGAGATGGTTTGAGCATGCCAGGGTGTCAGATCAGTCGAACACCAGACTGCTTCTCTGGCTACAGCCTTCAGCGCACAGCTGAGACTGCAGGAGGGGGCAGGACCTAAAAGTGGCTGCTATAGATGTGGTGCTGCTGATCATTGTCAAAGGGATTGCCCTAAGAAACCCCCCACAACAGTGTGCCAAAAGTGTCAGCAAGGGAAGCGGGAGTCAAAAAACTCCTCTCAGCAGGGAAACTGGAGACAGGGGGAGAGGTTGCGCACCCCGGCACAACAAACAAATACGACTCAAGAAAACAGGCTGGCAATCTGTGCCCCGCCACCACAGCCAGCACTGGGCTGGACCTTTCCAACAGAGAACTAGTAACCCTAACATCTACTGCTGTAGTGTTAATCCCTACAGGGGTTTGGGGACCATTGGGCCCAGGAGTACATGCACTGTTAATAGGGAGGTCGTCAACCACAAGGATGGGTTTGTTTGTTCTGCCTGAAATGATTGACTCAGACTCCCACAGTGAGATTCAGATAATGGCATGGACTCCAGTACCCCCTGTCACATCCCTGAAGGACAAAAGATTGCCCAATTGATTCCCTTTTTCAGCGTGTCTCCTGGTGGGGAGGGGAAGAGAGGTTCAGGGGCTTTTGGAAGCACAGGAGAGCCACAAATACATTGGGCAAGGGTCATTACAGCAACACAACCAAAGATGATGTTTCAAATAGATGGACGCAGATTCAAAGGCTTAGTGGACACAGGGGCAGATATTACCATCATCAAAGACGCTGAATGGCCAGTTGATTGACCTACTGTTTACCCGGCTTCGACCATTCAGGGGGTGGGAGGCACACAAAGGCCCAGGCTGAGTGCTCAAATACGCACAGTGCTGGGGTCAGAGGGACAAGTGGCCAAAATAGCTCCCTTTATTGCTCCTATACCATGCACGTTGAGACCCCTGGTGGCCTAGTGGTTAGCATGCAGGACTCTCACTGCTGCAACCCAGGTTCGATTCCTCGGTCTCCCGGGCAGATGGAACCAGTTAGCCCTGTGAGGCCATCCATCTATGAGAAGGTCACTCTAAACAAACCTACGTCCTGAGGACCTCACTGCCATTGTCCAAGCTTGCTTGGCCCCGGCAGATGAACCTTAGGATTAAAGGGTGGGCTCAGTTCAGCGCAGGCTGTGTCTCACCTAAAAAATCCATTGCGCAGGCTGGAAAGGTAAAAAGACCTTTCCCCAGATCTTCGTTCGCGAAGACTGGCCATTATCATTATCACCATGCACGTTATGGGGAAGAGACGTGTTGGGACAGTTTGGCACAGTCATGCAAATTGCTCCTGCAGACAACCAGGATTTTCAGTGAGGGCCATTGAACAACCGTTCCAAGGACAGATTAAGCTGAGTTGGAAAACTCATGAACCCATTTGGGTAGACCAGTGGCCCTGCTTGAAGCAGGACACATTGTGCCAACCTCCAGCCCCTGGAACACTCCCGTGTTTTGTATCCCCAAGAAAAGTGGCAAGTGGAGGATGCTGCATGACTTAAGGGCAGTTAACTCAGTAATAGAACCCATGGGGGCATTGCAACCAGGACTCCCTTCACCTGCTATGCTTCCAGCAGGATGGTCGTTAGTGGTAATTCATTTGAAGGATTGCTTCTTTACCATCTTTCTGCACCCTGAGGATGTGCCACAGTTTGCTTTCTCTATCCCCACTCTGAACAATGCACAGCCCATGCAGAGATACCACTGGGTTGTTCTTCCTCAGGGGATGAGAAACAGTCCGACCATATGTCAGACTGTTGTGGCAAAAGCTATTCACCCCATCAGAAGGCTTTATCCCTCAGCAATCATTTATCACTACATGGACAATATTCTAATCACCACAGCCAAAGAGACTGAGTTGCAAACTGTTGTTACTGCTCTAACCAATGCTGTCCAAGATGCAGGATTGAAGGTCGCTCCAGAGAAGATCCAGCAATCGCAGCCCTGGACTTACCTTGGATGGAGAATCACACAGCAGGAGATTTCGCCCCAGCCACTTCAACTTGGCGTAAAAGATACCTTAACTTTAAACGAACTGCAAAAACTTCTAGGAGTCATCAATTGGTTAAGATCTATTTTAGGTTTAACCACAGAGGTGCTACACCCCGTTTGAACTGTCGAAGGGTAACTCAGACTTAACATCTAGCAGGTCTCTGACTGCAGAGGCAAAGCAGGCGTTAGAAACATGCACCAATGCAGTCGAGAACAGACAAGGCAGAAGGAGAAATCTTGAACTGCAAATCTGCCTTACTCTTGTTCCTAGCAGGTTCCAGCCATTCGCAGTTTTGTTTCAGTGGGACCACACTGAACAGGATCCACTGAGAGTCCTAGAGTGGCTGTTTCTGCCCCATTCACCTCCTAAAACTGTGTGGATCATTAATGAAATGTTTGCCAAGCTTGTCGTTAAAGGCAGAGGACGGCTACAGGAGCTGGACGGACAGGATCCTGCGATCATCTACATTCCAGCCACTAAGGACAGCCTCGATTGGTTGCTGGCCGAACATGCAGGATTCCAGGCAGCCCTGGCAGGTTATGATGGTGACATTTCTATTCAGTACTCTAAACACAGGTTTTGGGCAGAAATGGGTAACCTACCCTTAAAAGCCACAACCAGCTGCAAACATCAGCCAGTGAAAGGTCTCACAGTCTTAACTGATGCATCAGGACAGACCAGGAAAGCTGCAGTGACATGGGTAAACCCTGATACAGGACAGTGGGAACAAGAGGTGCAGACCATGAACCAAGGTTCTGTACAGGTTCTGGAACTGGTTGCTATCTGTATTGCCTTGGAAAGGTTTTCAGAGCAACCTGTTAATGTTGTAACAGATTCTTGTTATGTTGCAGGTTTGGTATCCCACCTCGAGGGTTCATTCCTTCGAGATGTTGCAAACCCCCATTTGTTTATTGAAATGCGTGGTTTGGTTTCTTGTTCATCACAGGAGGTTGGACTTTTACATCATGCACATAAGATCACACACAGAAATGACAGGGCCCATAGCAGAGGGGAACCAGAGGGCGGACGCAGCAGCTATGTTTGCCACAGTGCCCAGAGTCTTAGAGCAGGCGAAATTGTATCATTCGTTTTTTCATTAGAACACATGTTCATTGAAGAGACAATTTCAAATCACTCTCAATCAGGCTCGAGACATAGTCATGTCGTGCCCAGATTGCCAGCAAATAACTCCAATGCCATCTCAGGAAGGAGTTAACCCCAGGGGATTAGTGGTAAATGAGATATGGCAAACACACATAACACATATACCTGAGTTTGGCTGACTGAAATACGTACACATTACAGTCGACACACACTCAAAATACATCACTGCCACTGCACACACTGGGGAAAAGGCAAGGGACATGATAAGGCACTGGCTTAGCTGCTTTGCAATGCTGGGTACCCCAAAACAGATTAAAACTGATAACGGACCGGCATACATATCAGCAAAGGTAAAAACCTTACTGGCAGACTGGGGAATCTCTCACTCCACCTTGTGACATGGGGAAGGGGTTATGCATGTGTATCCACAGGAAAAGAACTGAAATGGATTCCCTCCAGGTGTGTCAGACCTTATTTAGGTACATCCCCACAGCAGCAAGAACCAGAGTAATGCAAAGTTCAGAAACACAGTTATGTTTACCATTTGATAGTGATGTTTACATTTCAGGTTTACAATTGAAGATGACCAATGTGGCAAAATGCAGAGTTTACAAAAAACCCATGAGTGTGTATGTGAAGAATGAAGTGGCGGCCACCCATGCAAGTGTGTGTGAGTCAATAAAAAGAGTTGTGTGAGTGTATAAAGCACCTTAAACACCAAATGCCTTACAAAGGTATCACTACCTCAGCCACATGGTCACACTGCGGAAATTCAGTTTACTACATTTAACCTGTTCTTGAAATAAAGTTGATTTTCCCTGTTTACATAAACCCTGAGAAAAATAAAGGTTGCAGTTATATAGGTACTACACAGTTGGGCCAAGGCCCTTAGATCAGTAAAGCTGTTTTTCCAGGTTACACAATACCCTTTAGGAAAATAAAGGTTTAAGGTAATATCAAACAGGTTAAAAAAGGTTAAAGAAAGCATTTTCAGTAGATAAGTAAGCTGTTAAAGAACCAACGTATGCAGTGTGCTGGGTCACTGTGATGCTATAGTAATTGTTTAAGGTATTGTTCTGTTATTTGCACTGTTGTTGTTGCACTGTTTTCATGACTCGCCTTAAATATTTGGATTGGGGGACATGTAGGGGGCGTGTCCCAGGGATGCAGGGGGATGCATTCTGGGTCTTGGAGTCCCTGGACAGCATACTGACACACATGGGCAGTGTGTGTTCTACTGTCATTGGTCAGGTGGGTCACATGCCCCCCGAAGGGTATATAAAGGGGGCATTTTCCTTTAAATAAAAGATTTGGCTGCTTGCCATCTGAGCTGCTGGGTCGTGTCTTATTATATTAAATTAATAAGCCACAAAACTGTTTTTGAAATGAAGTCCCATTGTCTGACTCAATTCCCTCTGGGGTGCCATGTCACCACAGTACTTGCTTTTCAAGACCCAGAATGGTATTTCGGGCAGTTGCGTGAGGCACCGGATAAGTCTCTAACCATCCAGTTGTTGCTTCCACCATGGTGAGTACATAGCGTTTACCTTGACGGGTCTGTGGCAGTGTGATATAGTCAACCTGCCAAGCCTCCCTGAATCTATACTTATCCCAATGTCCACCATACCACAGGGGCTTCACTCTTTTTGTTGTTTAATGGCAGCGCATGTCTTACCATCATGGATGACCTGGGAAATAGTGTCCATGGTTAGATCCACCCCTCGGTCTCACACCCATCTATAGGTGGCATCTCTGCCCTGATGGCCTGAAGCATCATGTGCCCATTGAGCTAGGAACAACTCTCCCTTATGCTGCCAATCTAGATCTACCTGTGACACCTTAACTTGTGCAGCTCGGTCTGCTTGTTTGTTGTTGTGATGTTCTTCATTAGCTCGATTTTTGGGTACATGGGCATCTACATGGCGGACTCTCACAGTCAGCTTCTCAATTCGAGCGGCAATGTCTTATCATAAATCAGCAGCCCAGATAGGTTTTCCTCCACGCTTCCAATTGATCTTCTTCCACTGATCCAGCCACTCCCATAGAGCATTGACTATCATCCATGAGTTGGTGTAGAGGTAAAGCCTTGGTCATTTCTCTCGTTCAGCAATGTCCAGGGCCAACTGAACGGCTTTGAGTTCTGTGAATTGACTAGATTCACCTTCTCCTTCAGTAGCTTCTGCCACTTGTCGGGTAGGACTCCAGACAGCTGCTTTCCATTTCTGATTCTTCCCTACAATACGGCAAGAACCGTCAGTGAAGAGGGCATAACGTGTTTCTTCTTCAGGTAACTGATTGTATGGTGGAGCTTCCTCAGCCCTATCCACTTCTTCTTCCTCATCTGCCAGACTGAAGTTTCCACCTTCAGGCCAATTCGTTATGATCTCTAGGATTCCAGGGCAATTCAAGTTTCCGATTTGGGTATGTTGTGTAATCAAAGAAATCCATTTGCTCCATGTAGCATCAGTGGCGTGATGTGTAGAGGGCACCTTTCCCTTAAACATCCAGCTCAGCACTGGTAGTCGGGGTAACAGGAGAAGCTGTGCTTATGTGCAAATCACCTCTGAGGCTGCTTGTATGCCTTCATAAACCGCTAGGATTTCCTTCTCCATGGGGGTGTAGTTGGCTTCAGATCCTCTGTAGCTTCGGCTCCAGAAACTGAGTGGTCGGCCTCGGGTCTCACCAGGCACCTTTTACCAGAGGCTCCAGGAGGGACCATTATCCCCGGATGCAGAATAAAGTACATTTTTCACATTTGGTTCTGTCCTGACTGGTCCAAGGGCCATGGCGTGTGCAATCTCCTGCTTAATCTGTTTAAAGGCTTGCTGTTGTTCAGGACCCCATTGGAAATCATTCTTCTTATGGGTCACTAAGTAAAGAGGGCTCACGATTTGGCTGTATTCAGGAGTATGCATCCTCCAAAAACCTATGGCTCCTAGGAAAGCTTGTGTATCCTTCTTGTTAGTCGGTGGAGCCATCGCTATGATCTTGTTAATGACTTCTGTTGGAATTTGACGACATCCATCTTGCCATTTTACCCCTAAGAATTGTATCTCTTTAGCAGGTCCCTTGACCTTACTCTTTTTGATGGCAAAACCAGCTTTGAGGAGAATCTGGATGATTTCTTTTCCTTTTTCAAAAACTTCTTCTGCTATGTTCCCCCATACAATAATATCATCAATATATTGTATGTATTCTGGAGCCTTACCCTTCTATAGGAATCGCCCCCGCAGGGGGTCTCGGCGTGGCGCCAGGTGGGGGTTGCTCTGTCTCTCTCTCTGCCCACAGCAGAATCTGTGTAGGGCTCTGCCGTTTGTCTGCAGTTTGCGTGGCCCCGGCCCCAGCTGCGCACGCTCTCACTCCCGCCCGAGCCACGCAGAGCTGTGTCGCCGGGCCAACCCGTGTAGCTGCCCCGGGGTTGAGCCGACTCCCTGGCCGTTTCTTGCCCTGTTCTCGCTGCGGCTTTGGTCTGGTCCCGGCTCTGGTGGGGCTCCGCACAGCTGCCGCCACGGCCCTGGGTCACCACTCGTGCATCCCCCAGCGTGACACAGGCGGCGCTGCGGGGGGATTTCTGCAGCAAGGCAAGACTCACTCCCACTGCCCATCCCCCCCCGTCGGCGCCCCGCCATGCCAAGCTGGGTCGGGTCCGTGCTCTGGCCGCACAGGACCCAGAGCCCCGTGCCGCCGCGTGCTGCCTCGGTGTCGCCGCCGCCACTTCGGTGTCGTTGTTGTCGCGAGCCCACGCTGTGAGATTGTGCAAGCCCTGTGGCCGTGCATCCTGCGCTGCCACCGCTGACAAGTGCCGTGGACAGTGCTTTTTCAAACCCCGCGCCACTTTGTTCACCCGCAGGCGTTCTAGCTGGCACTTGTTTAAGGGATTTTTGCACTGTTTCTGCAGAGTGCAGCGAGTCCAACAGACTCTTTTAACAGCAGCACGGAGGCAGTGGGCGCGGGGGCAGCATTCTGTCCCTGCGCTGTATGAGTGCCTGTCTTTTCTCGGAGGGGGAAAAACTGACTCCCTCCTGCTGTCCTCTGTTGGTTCTCTGCTTACTGGATTAACATGTTTTAAGCATGCTTCCTCAAGCTGGGACACTCGACAAGCTGGCCGTGGGCAAGATGGCGACTCCCAAACTGCAGCGTGGCCGCCATGTGGCTGCAACTCGGCAGTGCCTCGTGGACCCAAGGTCTGTCTCTCCCCAACAACCACGTGGTTCGTGCCACGTGCTCGCTCCTGCCCGCGTAAAACCCAGCCCAAGTCCTTTGTTAGGGTCTCTCATTTTGCACGCGGTTTTATCCTACCCCCGCATCTGCTCCTGGTGTCTTGGGGAGTCCTTTGCCTGTTAGGGTTCGTGTGGGGGAACAGGAGGTTTAAAGTTTTTCTCCATGGACCAGTTTAAGTTTCTTTGTGAGATTTTTAAGGTGTCCACATCTTCTATCTCTGCTTTCTCTCGAGCTGTCTCTCCAAATTTTTTCCAAGCAGTTACATTAAGGATTCTGCTTAGCAGAAGTCCTGATACAGTTATTTCTATCCATTTCCCTTGAATTTTAACTTCCCATGCCAGCTTCTTACCTGGGCTCTCTGTAACTTTACCTTTTCTTTCTTTCAAAGCTTACTCTGCCAGGTCTCTCGTGCACAATATGCAGTTTTTCGGAGCTCCCACGCGGTCCCTACCACATGACGTTCCAGTCCTTTTTGCACTGGTATTCGACGTCCTTTCTTTAATGACATTCTCTGCCTGCTTTTATCTTGGTATGCGATGTCTGGCTTTTTTTCCGGACAGTGCTCCTGAGCTTTTAAAACAAGCTCATTCAAATGCTACCGTAATTTTCCTTGTTACAAGGCAATCTCTAATCATCCCTGATACAGGGAGATGCCCCAGTTTGGGGCACCAGATATAGCTTATTAATATAATAAGTAAATAAATCATACAGACCCGGTTAGCTTGGGGGTTCAACTGCCAAATCCTCTTTATTCAAATGAGACAACAGCTTATATATGGGTTCGAATAGTAACACGTGACTCCCTTGACCAATCACCAGGGGTATCTCACTACCCATGTGCGGGAGTATTTCTGGACTTCATTTACCAGGATGCTTCATCCAGCATCCTTCCTAAAACCCAACTCCTACACCCTTCTCTATTGTAGCCTGAATCAGTCCATGGCAGATGGTGGGACTGTGTTTCCACCCCTGGGGCAGTCAGTTCCGGTTGTACTGCACGCCCCTCCAGATGAAAGCGAACTGCAGTCTGCACTCTGCTGCTAAGGGAATGGAGAAGAACGCATTTGCAATATCAGTGGTGGCGTACCACTTCACTGCCTTGGACTCCAGTTCGTACTGGAGCTCCAACATGTCTGGCACAGCGGCACTCAACAGTGGGGTAACTTCATTCAAGCCATGATAGTCCACAGTCAGTCTCCATCCTCCATCAGATTTACGTACAGGCCAGATGGGGCTATTGAAAGGTGAGTGAGTCTTACTGACCACCCCTTGGCTCTCCAGCTCTCAGATCATCTTATGGATAGGAATCACAGCATCTCGGTTCGTTCGGTATTGTTGTCTATGTACTGTTGTAGTGGCCGTCGGCACTTGTTGATCCTTGACTTGCAGCAATCACACAATGGAAGGATCTTCTGTGAGGCCAGGCAGGGTAGATAATTGTTTAAATTTCTGTGTAGCCACTGTGGCTACACCAAAAGCCCATCGATACCCCTTTGGATCTTTGAAGTATCTTCTGCTGAGGTAATCAATGCCAAGGATGCAAGGGGCCTCTGGACCAGTCACAATGGGGTGCTTTTCCCATTTGTCCCCTGTTAAACTCACTTCAGCCTCTAGCACTGATAATTCTTGACATCCTCCTGTCACTCCAGAAATCCAGATGGGCTCTGTGCTTTTATGCCCTGATGGCATCAAGGTGCATTGTGTGTCAGTGTCTACTAAAGCTTTATATCTCTGCGGATCCGATGTGCCAGACCATTGAACCCACACAGTCCAGTAAACCCTATCATCCCTTTCCTTCTCCTGGCCGAAGGCAGGACCCGTCTATTGTTCTTGATCAGAGTATTCACTGCAAGATCTTTGCATTGCCCAATCAGAGGTCCCCTCATCAGGATCACAGGAATTGATCTCGGTCTTTCTGCATCTCAAAGGTCGCTGATCTCTTTCTGGGGCCTCTGCATCAACTACATGGATGGCCTTCTTACTAGGTTTCTTCCCTCTTAATTCTCATACGCGGGTTTCAAGTTTATAGGTAGGTTCACCGTCCCACTTCTTCATGTCTTCCCCTTGGTCACATAGAAAGAACCATAGTTCACCACGTGGCCTGCTCTTGGGGATTCCTTTCCTTCTGAGTGGGACAGAAGGAGACTGAGATCGATCTCTTGGGCTGTCTCTGCGGTGATTCTCACATTCAGGGCACTTGTAAGGTCTCTCCATCCTCTCCCCAGTGTGGGTGCGCCGGTGGTAGAGATCGGAGCTGTCTCTGAAATCTAACTTGCTGGCCTGTGGGAGTGAGGAGGCTTCCATACCTTCTGCTATACTCTGTATCCAGGCACACATTGTGTCCACAGTTGGTTCATCCATCCTTGGTTGGTATATTGGTAACAAGCAATTTACATACAATTCAGGGGCACCTGGAATTACTTTTCTCCACATGGGTAGTGTGCAAGGAACAAGCTTTGGAGTTAGGAAGTTGTTATCGCCTGGGTCACTGTAAATCATTTCCAGCATGGTCAATTCCCGCAGGTACTGGACGCCTTCCTCTGCAGTACTCCACCTTCTTGGAGAGCTCATTAGATCTTCCTTGAATGGGTACCTTTTTCTCACACCAAAGAGGAGCCGGAGACAAAGACTGCGAATAAATCTCTCCCTTCCAATTTCCTTTTTCGATTTCACGATCTCTGGCAATAGATCCTAGTTGCTGTGCTTCATGACCTTCTAA